CAGAAAGCAAAGCTCTGGTATTGAAAAGAAAACTGACATTTCAATGGGTTACATCAAGAGTTACCTGAGGTGCCTTGATTGCTGTTTTTAGTTTCTTGAGTGGGGCCATCACTAGGAAGTCTCTAGCAGCTTCACTCTTTAAGGGCAGCCATCTTTGGAGCCCAGGCTCCTCCCTTTGGAGGGTGGGCCATCCCTTAAGAACTTTTTTTTTTTAAATTCTATTGAGGGTAGTCCATTTTCCCACAGTTGTGACATGAATTGTCCCTTTAGAATCTTTTTTCACCCCCTGCTTGGGGATTCCTCGGAGGTGGCAGGTTCTTATGTGCCTAGGGAATGTATTAGTCCCCAAGACTAAGGCTATCAATTAGATTTGTTCTTTTGGCTGTAATTGCTTTTTTTGGACCTTTTAGATAGTCTCTATTTTATCTCTGTCGTTGAAAGCAGAAAAAGCCAACTTTAAAAGTTAACTTGCAATGTTTGGGGTCCCATTGTCTAATTTTGTATCTTCTCCCTAATACTTAAGGCAGATTAACTAATGAAATAAGTACCTAGCAAAGTCTGACCTTAAGAAGAACTTTAAAAAAAATCTTTAGGGGTTGGAGAGATGTCTCAGTGATTAAGAGTTTGTGTTGCTCTTCCAGAGGACCCAAGTTCATGTCCCATCAACCGTGTTGGTTGGTTCACAATCGCCTGTAACTGCAGCGCCAGGGAGACCTGGCATCTATACTCACATGCACATACTCAAACTCAGACACACACATACACGCATAATTGAAATTAAAATATGTCTTAAAAAATCTTCACACTAGGTCATGTGTGGTGGTGCACACCCTTAATCTCAGCACTCAGGAGGCAGAGGCAGGCAGATCTCTGTGAGTTCAAGACCAGCCTGGTCTACATAGTGAGTTCAAGGTCAGCTGGGGCTGCAGGGAGACCCTGTCTCAAAAAAAAAAAAAAAAAAAAAAAAAAAAGGCCACACACACACACACACACACACACACACACAACTTCACAGTAAACTTAATTCTACACATACCATCTTTGTAAAATGTTTATTTTCTCATGTATGTATGTGTGTGATGTATGTACATGTTCATGTGGATATGTACATGTGTACACAGAAGGCAGAGGTTAACAACAGGTATCGTTACCAATTGCTCTCCATCTTACTTTCTGAGACAGGGTCTCTCACTGAACCTGGAGCTCATTAATTCAGATACACTGGCTAGCCAATGAGCTCTAGGGCTCTGCCTATCTCCACCTCCCCAGCCCTGAGATTACATATGTGTGTTACCACACCCCGCTTTTATTGAAGTTCTAAACTCAGATCCTCATGCTTGTGTGGCAAACCTTTACCAACTAAGTCATCTCAGCTCAATTTTTTTGTCTTCTTTTTAATACAAATATTTTAAGTGTAATCATTTTATTTACAAAATAAATTTCAAAAGTATATCACTACATTTAGTGCAAATGCAACTAATGATAGATACTGCTTTGTAAACTTTGCAAATCTTTGTAAAATAAAGCTATTCAATTTAGTTATGAAAGAGTTACTTATCTATGTTCACGATGGTTACCAGAAATGCAAACAGAGAAACATTTATAGTGGGCATAGAGAATTTTTTTAAAGATTCCCACCAGCACCTATGGTGAATAAACAACCATCCCTCCCAAACATTCTTGCTCTCCCACCCCACAGCTGATTATAAAATAAAATACACATTTGAGGTATAAACTTTTCTAAACATTACAATATAAAACGTTAACTAGTTGCTGTAAACTGGCATGATAATTTGTCTTATTTGCCTTACTAGCATTACCACCATATAGGCACTTTTCCACACAGTCAAACATGAGCAGCATATTCTGTAATAAGGCATATTCCATGCACATCATTTAGAAAAATGTAAATTTATGGAGCATGAAATTGCGTGCATGAAAGTAAGCTATATGTTTTATATGTATTTTTCTCTCTGTAAATAATAATAAATATCACTATATCTGATGCAAGTAATTGACATCCAGATGTGCATATCAAGATCAGACTAATCCCATCATTAAATTATCAGCTTGGCAAATGCATTGCCCTGGAGCTGGTATTATAGGCAGCAATCAGTGGGTTTTAAACAAAAGCCCATTATGGGTGCTGAGAAGCCAACTCAGGTCCTCTGGAAGAGCAGCAAGTACTCTTTATCTACTGAGTTACTGCTCCAATCCCTGTGCTCACTTCTTAAACTTTTCATTTTGGAGAAATCTTTTGTTCTTTTTTGAGATAGGGTCTCCCTGTGGCCCCAGCTTGTCCTCAACTATGTAGACCAGTCTGGCCTTGAACTCACAGAAATCTGCCTACCTCTGCTTTCCAAGAGAAATGGGATTAAAGGTAAGGGCCACCACACCCAGAACTATTTTTATTTATTTCTTAAACAGATACTGCCACAAATTTATGTGTAGAAACAGCACAGGACACCAGGGATCTGAAAACAGTGGGGAGGGACAGTTATACCAGTCCATCTGTCTTACATTGGCAGACAGAAATCTTTACCATCGAGCCTTCATAGAGGCTCAAGGTAGAGTTGGAACCAGAGCAACACTGGCTTTACACATTCACTTAACAGTCCAGAGATCTGTGACTCACTTTTATGCATTTCCTTATCTCCAAAATGAGTTTTCCAATTTTTTTTCTTTTCTTTCTTTTTTTCCTGTAGCCCCAGCTGCCCTGGAACTCACTATATAGACCAGGCTGGCCTTGAACTCACAGAGATCTGCTGCCTCTGCCTCGAGTTCATTGTGCTACCAGCCTAGCCTAATTGATAAGCTCTAGGTTCAGTGAAAGATTCTGTCTCAAAAATTAAGGTGGAAAGTGAAAAATATACCAGATACCAACATCTGGGCATTTCATGCACACATACACACATCATTCCACATACACAAATACACACAGACACACAGATGAACATACCACACACACATCCCACTACCATAACCACCACCACCCAAACAAAACTTTGGTTATTTAGTAATTCTGGTCTCTTCTTTGACAAGACCATTCTTGGACTGGTTGGTCATTTGTTCACTTACCTTCAGGTTTGGTAGGCTTTTGGTGGGGTTGGGAGGTATTGAGACAAGGTCTCCCTGTAGCCCCAGCTGCCCTGGAACTCACTATGTAGACTAGGCTGGCCTTGAACTCACAGAGATCCGCCTGCCTTTGCCTCTGCTGGGATTAAAGGCATTCGCCACCACATCTGGCTGAGTTTTCCAATTTTGCCTTTTCCTAGTCTTGTCCTTTTCCTTCATAGCACATAACCATGACATTGATAAAATTTGCTAGTTATTTTTCCTCCAAACCCCTATAAGACTGTTAAAATTCTCCACCATTTTATCAGCTCCTTCCAGCATAGTCTGGCTTTTTCATACTCTCCTCTCCCTCTTTATTTTTCCTTTTTTTCCCCCAGCCCAAGTAAATATACGCTTTTTTAAAAAAAAATATTTTATTATATGTGTATGAGTGCATTGCCTCCACGCGTGTAAATGAACCCGTGCCATACAATGCCCACGGAGGTCAGGAGAGGGCTTCGAATCTCCTGAAACTGGAGTTATGGTTGTTAGCGCCATGTGGATGCTGGGAATGAAACCCGGGTCCTCTGCCAGCCAGTGCTCTTAACTGCTGACCCATCTCTCCAGCTCTCCCCCAACCCTGTCTACCATGCAGGAGGTCCAGGCTTGTTTTTCTACTAAAGTAGAAAGCTGATAGCCTTTTAACATGTTTAATAAATGTTGGCAAAAAGACTAAAAGTGAAGCTTATCTTTTAGGGCTGTTCTGAGTACCAAGCTACTTGGTTGTTTGTAAAGCAATATAGATGGGGGACTATATATTTTGAGACAGGGTCTTGTGTAGCTGAGGTTGGACTTGAACTCTGTATGTAGCCAAGGATGTACTTGAATTCCTCATTTCCTTGGCTCTACTCGAGACACACACACATACTCACAGATAGTGGGGTTACAAGTGTGCCACCACACCCTTTTTTGTAGTGTTGGGGAATGAACTCAGGACCTCCTGCATGGTAGGCAAACAGATTTCCATCTCCAGCTCCGAATCCGAATGATGTGAGCAGGGGATTCAAACAGAGGCTGATAACCAGCACCTCAAGGCTCACAAAGCGTTAAATCTGTTGCTTGGTAAAGCAGAAAAAGGCGAAGCGACTGGCGTAAACTTTTCAACCTAAGGATGGAAGGGCGGAGGTGAGGTCAACCAGCACCGGACCGAAGAAACCAGAAGCCAAACGCTAACCCAAAGTGCCTTTTCCCACGTGGGGTTCCCAGTGTCTCTCTCCCAAATTGCCTACCAATCCAGACCTCAACCCGACCAGCGCCACATGGTACTGGGAAGGTATCACTGAGAACTAGAGGTCAGCCGCGACTGAACGTCCCAAGGCATCATGGGAGTTGTAGTTTTCTTTCCGACATAACAAGCGAGTTCAGCCTGCTTTCGTTCTTTAAGTAGCATTGTGCAGTTCATTCAAATGAAATACGCAACATTATATATTAAGTCTAGATATCTTCGAAAGAGAGGATGAAGTGAAAGGAGAAAAGCAAGCCAAAAAGTTACAGGCGAGAGAACGGGTTAACTGTTGCTACGCATGCGCTCAGAGTGCTCGCAGGTTGGGCGGAAAGACGCCTACCCAGAGCTGTGTTGTCCCCGGAAGTGCCTTCCCTGCTCTTGGGTCCGCGCGGACGCGGCTTCCTTACCTCACTTGTCCTCGCCCCTCCCCGTTCCTCTACGCGTTTTGGTTCCTGGTTGGTGCTTCCTGGTCGCAGCCGCGGCAGTGAGTATGTGTGTGACGGACCCCGAACCGTCCGTGACCGGGGGACCCCTGCTTCATCCGCAGAGCTGTGGAGCTTCCGAGTGCGCTCGGCGGCCTTTGCGGCCGGGTCCTGTCTCAGGCCGTGGTCCCGCCTCAGCAGCGCGTTGCCCCCACGCGGCTCGGCGGACAGGCTGGGCTTTGGCGTCTGCCGACCCTTCACGGCCAGAGATCCGGGTTCACAGAAGGCTGGGCGTCGATGGCGCGGATCCCTCTCCCCCGCGTTGCCCCGGCGTCTCCCCAGGGTCCGCTGTCGTAGCGGAGCGGGTCAGTCCGCGGACGCGAGGCCTTTTTGTGCCGAGCGCGAGCCGGGCCCTCGTAGACACTTCCCGTCCCGTGCCGCCTGCGGTTCTGCTGTCGGGCCGCAGCTGCGCCAGTGGACCCCAAAGAATTTGGGGGCTGTGCTCACCCCTCACGTAAAACCAGCCTGTGCCAGTCGGCTGTTGCGTTGAACTCTAGCCGAGAACTGTGTCTAGGAATCGGCAGGCCCCAGTTCAGCTCCACCACTGATTAGCTGGTGACACTGGGAATCTCTTTAGGCTGAATTTCCCATTTTTTTCAGATTTCGGAAAATTTCAAGTTTAGAAAAATTTCAGGGCATTTTAAGACCATTGAATACATTTCTCTGACCCTGGGTTTTCTTTTTTTCTCTTTTTTTCCCCAAATACAAAATCAGCGTTAATTTTGTAGCTTGGGTCTGTTCAAAAGCTCTTGACTTCGTTTTGAGCATTTAGACCTTAAATTGAACTGTGCATATGTTTTGGGGACAGTTCAGTATTGCTGTCATCAAGGTAATCTGAGGGTAGGGAATAAACTGAAGAAAAATTGGAAGTGGGACCTGAATGATAGCTCCAAGGTTGGCAGAAGGTTGAAGAGTTGATGGGGAAGGCAGTGTTCCCAGATAGGGTTCCAAGAACAGCTGAAATCTAACCTTACTTTAGCATGATTTCCTTCCATCAGGATGGTTGCATTGTTTTTACACTTTTGGATTCTTTACCTTATTTGATTCAAAGTAGCAGTAACATTTGAAAAGTGGACAGAAATTTTAACTCTATAATTTTGTTTTTGTCATTGTCAAAGTAGCACACTAAAAGTAAGTCATAAACTATTAATCAATTTCCATTTACAATTGTGGATTTAAAATCAAGCCTTGAAACTGGCGATCACTTGCTTAGGGTGCCCAAGACCATGGATACAGCCCCCAGCACCATAAAAAAAAAAAAAAAGTAATAAAACTTGAGTCCTGGACCTTACTTAAATTTGCCTCGTTAAATTTTCCTTCCTCCAGAGAGAACAGCTAAAAATGCTTTTGAAGGGAATTAAGAACAAAATGTCCAGAATGACTAACTGATAGACTGCTAGAACCAGAAATAAAAGCTTTAAAGATTATAAAGCTTAGGTACATTTTGTCTAATTTAAAGAAATCCCTGCCTCCCTCCCTTTTTTTAAAATTAAATTTAATTTTTTTTATTTTTAGTGGTGAGAACCTTTGTAAGATATTCTCCTGGGTGATTTTATGTTACTTGTTTAGATAAGCTTCATGCTCCCTTCTGTGATATTTTTAGATTCTTGAATATGATCCATTTTCTGTAGTCATAGTGTACTGATGAGGTCTTTTGTTAATTTTAATTTACAATTGGGGCTGGGGGATTTGAGACAGGATCATTTTAGCCCAGGCTGATCTGGGAACAAGACTAGCCTTGACTGAGCTCCTGATCTTGCTTCAATCTCCCAAATACCAGGATTACAGACGGTCCATGTGCCCCACCACACCTGGTTTTGATAAGTCTTTTGAGTACTAGCTTAGGAGGTTCTTGGACAGTAAACTGATAAATTAAATGTAGTGCTTTTCCTTCTAATTAAAATGCCTCTTTCAAGTTTTTTTTTTCCGGTAACTGGATATGTGTGAGGTAAATTTAGGTATTAACAACCAGTGCCCATATAGCAATGTTAATTGGAAATTATTTATTTTGAAATTTTTATTTTAAAATCTTAGTGCTCGGCCTAGACTCAGAAACACTGAATCAGTTTAGCTGTGTTCTTAACCAGCTTGTCTAGCTTTGGGTAGGTTTTGTTTGAAGATCTCTTTCTTCATATGTAGATTGAGGGGGACTATGTGAAATAATCTAGCAGATTCCTTCCAGATTTAAATGTTTGTGACTCTCATAAAGATGCAGTGTTAACCTTAGTTAAGTGTGCTTTCGAATGATAATGAAGAAAAAACTGAGAAAGCTTCTAAGGGATATGTGTGTGTGTGTGTGTGTGTGTGTGTGTGTGTGTGTGTGTGTGTCTGTGCGCATGCGCACATATGCATGTATACATCACACATCTCTGAGTATACTTTTAAAATTAAACACATTTGAATGTAATTAAAGTCGTAACATAAGCCAAATCAGTCTGAGGCAAACCTTAACCCTGGCATGCATAAACTCCATAAATAGAAGAGACCGTGTTATTCCCAGGCACAATTTTCAAGTACAGAAGGTACAAAATCCTCTTAACAGCCATAGGGACTAAATTGTTAAATTCACTTTTCTACATTTCATGGGAAGAGATAAATCCTTAGACCCCAAGAAGTCAGCTTTTATTATGGTTCTGTGGTTTATTTTTAGCATACATTCACAGGTGTGCCTATGGCTCTATTCTTAATCCCTTTCCTTTGGGATGGCTCCAAGTGTACAAATTTGTAACTCTGTAATTTAGCTCTTTAATTTTTTTTTCTGTGCAGCACTGGAATTAGGTTTTATCTTAAGTCCACACTGGATCCTCAGGATGGATCCACTGAGGATTTTGAAGGAAAGCATAATTCCTTTGACTTCTTTTAGAATTAATTTACCTATTAAATAAAAAAGGAATGGATTCATCTTTTATTTGAATTCCTCTGAGGCTAACATTTCAATATAAAGCAATAAATGCTATGAGCATTATTATTCAGACAGCCACATTCAGCTTGTTTGACAATAACAGCATAGCAATCTGAAAGACAGTACAAGAGAACAAGTATATTGTGTCTTTTAAAAGAAAAAAAGGCACTTTTTTTTAAACAGAATTTCATAGCACTTACTGTGTAGCTGAGAATGACCTGGAACTCTTGATCCTTCTGCCTCCCAAGTGCTGAAATTATAGGCACCAAAAGTTGGTTCCTTTATTTCTGGAAAACAACCCCTAAACTCCAGCTTAAGTTGAGTGCAATTTGGCTCATAGGGTCTGCTGGTTCTCTTACCCAAACCAGCATTATAACACCCTGACCTTCTGGACAGAGACTTGGGAAACTTAAGAAAACAACTACTCTTTCTTAATTATATATTTCCAAAAGTAGAAGAAAGAATGATTGGCATTTTTATTTTATCTAGGGTACCTGTTTTTTAAACAAATATGATTTATTTTCCCTAGAGCTATTATTTTGATCAGTATTCCATTGATAGGTAATTAAAACATTTACTGTATAGATTTTTGGTTAATGCTTGGAATAATTAAAGATATCTGAGAAATTATCCTGTCACAGTTTCTGTATTCGGGGCATATAGCAGACTTTTTGATGCTAAAGAACAAATGCTTAATAGTAGAATTCATTTATTTAAACTTTCATAGAAGTTTCTCTAAATGCCAGTTAACTGTGCTTGGCTTTGCTTAACAAAGTGCGTAAAGTTCCTGCCCTCCTGGGGTTTGTGATCTGTGTTTCTGGGACATTTACATTGAATAAGTAATTATAAATGTGGTATTTTGGATATAAAGTGCTATGAAAGTTTATAAAAAAGATACTTAAACCAGGCCTGGTGACTCATACCTTAATCCCAGAACTTGGGGGCCAGAGACAGGTGGATTGTTGTGAGCTTGAGGCTGGCCCAGGCCATATGGGGCTACAGGGAGACCCTGTATCAGAAAAAAAGACAATCTTAATTTCATCTGGTGGGGAGTAATGTTCAAGCCGAGTTGAAAGATGTCCAAGATTTAATATATGCACAGTAGAAAAAAATTGTATATTCCAAAAGCTGAGGTTGCCACAGTTGTAGGTATTTAGTAAATTTGTGTTTCATATACATTTTTAATAAGTAAATATTGTTTATTAGATATTTTGTGTACATTCTGTTGGCCAAGGATCAGAAGATTTGGAGATAATAATAACTGATAATAATTATTAGTAATAGTATTTGCAGTGTTGGGGATCAGACCCAGGATAACTCATGTACTAAGCTTGCACTTTAACACTATGCTATATTCCCATTATTTTTTAATTCAGAATAAATGCTCAAATAATGAATTTGGTAATGACTCCCCATTGTGAATTTTGTCATAATTGACCTAATAGCCTCATATGAGAAAGTATCCCCCAAAAGAAGCAATGCAGAACAAAAGAAGAGATCAATAAATAGAAGAGACAGCAGCGTGGTATGGTGGCACACGTTGTCTTAGTTTGTTCTTCATTGCTGTGACAAAATACTCTGACCACTACCAACTTGGGGAGGAAAGGGTTTATTCAGCTTACATCTCCCAGGTCACGAGGAAAGGGTTTATTCAGCTTACATCTCCCAGGTCACAGTTCATCAGGGAGCCCAAGGTAGGAACTCAGGGCAGGAACCTGGAAGCAGGAGCTGGAGCACAGGCCATGGAGGAATGCTGCTTACTGGCTTGCTGTCCTGGCCCCTGCTCAGCCTGCTTTCTTATGCAACATAGGCCCACCTGCCCAGGGGTGGCACCCACAGTGGGCTGGGCCCTCCCACATCACTCATCAAGAAGATGTCCCTCAGACATGGCCACAGGCCAGTCCAAGAGAGGCAATTCCCCAATTGAGGCTCCCTCAACCCAGCTATGTCAAGTTGACACTAAAGTTATCCAGCACACACGTCTTTAATCCCTGTACACAAGAGGCAGAGGCAGGTGGATCTCTGTGAGATAGGGGCCAGCCTGGTCTACATACCAAGTTGCAGGACAGCTGGGGCTACAGGGGAGACCTTGTCTTAACACCTCCTCACACCCAACAATAAGCATGAAGGCAGGTGGTTCTTTGGTTGCTGCTATGCTTGCTGTTCTCTTTGCTCTCAGGAGGTCAAGGCAGGAGTATTACTGCAAGTTTGAGGATCACCTGGTCTATATAACAAGACCCTATCTTAAAATAAATAAAAAAGAAGAAAAAAAAGTAGATATGGGGCTGGAGAAATGGCTCAGAGGTTAAGAGCACTGGTTGCTCTTGCCGAGGACCCAGGTTTGAGTCCCAGCACCCACATGGCAACTGACAACTGTCTGTAACTGCAGTTCCAGGGGATCCGATACCCTCTTCAGACCTCCACTGGCATTGCACGACATGGTTGCACTTACATATATGCAGGCAATACACTCATACACATAAAATAAAAATAACAAAATTTTTAAAAAGGATAGAATTGGAAGAGGTGTTTTTGGAGGAGTTTTAACATTTTGGAGAACAAGAATTCATTAAGTAGTGGATCTCAAATTGTTTTTTGAGAAGTTTGGGCATTATAGTAGGTCATAACAAGATTACTAAATTCATGGAAAAGAGGTGGGAGAAAAATGTATTTATTATGTCAGAAAAGTGATGGCCTTCAATGTTGGCTCTGTGAGGTATGCTAACTAAACATTACCTTAGCTTTAAAATATATTCTTTGTGTGACTTTTTCTTTTACAGAATTAAGCTAACTGACTTTCCATAATGTTTGGTGGCTATGAGACTATAGAAGCATATGAAGATGAGCTTTATCGTGAAGATTCTTCAAGTGAACTGAGTGTTGATAGTGAAGTGGAATTTCAGCTCTACAGCCAAGTTCATTATGCCCAAGATCTGGGTACTGCCATCAAAGAGGAAAAACATGAGGAAAAGAACTGTGAGAATTCTGAAACATCAGGCAATCAACCAGATCAGAAGAACTTAATTGTCCTTTCAGATAGTGAGGTCATCCAGCTATCAGATGGGTCAGAGGTCATCACGTTGTCTGATGAAGATAGTATTTATAGATGTAAAAGAAAAAATATTAAAGTCCAAGCACAAGAAAAGACCCAGAGTCCTGGTTCTCATTCTAATAAATTGGCTAAGAAATGCAAGAGGGATAATGAGAAGCTGGAAGTGAGATCAAGTGTGATCCGAGAAGTCATGATCATAGAGGTCAGTTCAAGTGAAGAGGAAGAAAGCACCATTTCAGAAAGTGAAAATGTGGAAAGCTGGATGCTACTGGGATGTGAAGAAGATGATAAAGACAATGGTATCCTTCTCAACCTTGTAGGATGTGAGAACCCTACTTCTGAAGGTTAGTATCATAATGGCTATTTTGAAAAATAGTACTGTCTTTATTAGGGAAGACTGCTTTTCCTAGACAAAGCACCAGTGAGGTCTGATCCTTATAATTCTGGTCTTGTTTCTCCTGAGGCTCTCCTACCAGAGGCTGCTCTGATGGTGGTCTTTCTGAACATGAGAAAGTATATATAGCAGAGTATCACACACTCTGCTGTGGCTATAAGCATATTTATAGTACTTCTTATTTGGCTAGAGCCATTGTGGACCCAACATCTTAGTATCTTTCTCTCTTTGTCTGGTGCCATAGGTGAGTACTCTAATCTACCACTGGAATTGGCCTTGTGCCCTCCTTTGGACACTTAGAAAGAACTCAGCCAGATAACAAGCAGGTGGAATGCCAGGTACACTGAAAATAGGGAATTAGTATTTCAGGAACTTCATAGCCAGTAAGACAGGAAATATGAAAAGTTGAATTTCTACAGTTAATTGTAGAAGAAAATACAAATTCCAAGTCCCACATTCTTGAAGATTAAACTTGTAAAAGTTTTGCTTTCTCTGTCAGTGTCAGTGAGTTTTTAAAAGGTCCCTTCATTTCCTTCCCTTTATGCCTAATGCCATGTCTCTTGCACTAGTTTCCTAAATGGCCTTTTACATTTGCCCTATACACTAGTAGTCTTGAGATGCTCCCTTACTTCTGGTACTTACCGTTGCATCAGAGCCTTTAGTGCTATTCTGTTGCCCTGTGAAGAAATGCTGACATTGAATGTAGATCATGCTTGGATCTCCAGGGAGTGGCAAACTTTTTTTGAAAAAGGAATCAGATAGGCAGTATTTGCCTAAACCAATCATTGTGATGCACACCTGTAGCCCCAGCATTTGGGAGGGAGGCAGAGGCAGGACAGCCAGGAATTCAAGGCCAGCCTTGGTTATATAGGGAGTTTGAGATACATGAGGTACATGATACATGAGACCCTGTCTCAAAAAACATTAACCCCCACCCCCCAAAAAAACTCGGGGTGTGTGTGTGTGTGTGTGTTTCCTGTAATAGCTTACTTAGAAAAACAGGTGGCTGGCATAGGCTATAGTTTTATGAACCTCAGAATTTGATAGTAAGAAGAAGGAAAAAAAGATAGTTATACAGTAGAATTAAATAAAGCTTTGTCTGAATAAGGGAGATTTGTTTTTAGGTAGAAGAGAAGAAACTTTTAGAGACAACCCTTTTAATAGATCATAGAGGTCATATTGATCAAGAGCTCATATTGGTCAAACCCTTTTAATAGATCAAAGAGGATCCTTAATTAATGAGATGAGATTGACTGTGTATATGTTATTTAGTCTTAAAAATGAACTGTTAGATATTCTCTAATATTTATAGAAGTAGAAAAGAAAATGATACATTCTGATGGATTGAAGTGGATGAGGGAACATATAAACGTGCATGATTTTCTTGGGAAGTAGACATGAAGTGGCCAGAGGGTGATTGGAAGCTTCCAGCATGGAAAGGATGAGCGTTATGGAGAGTATGGATCTTACCATGACTATAGTTGTATTTTTAGTTTTTGGTAATTGAGAAAATGCATATTAGTAAAAAGCTGCTAATATTCTCTTACAAAACTTTGTATTTTATTAATCACAGCATTGGCTATATATTTGAGAATGGTTAAACCATGTATGTGGGACATGGTCTTTATATACATATGTACATATATAATTCATGCCTCTGGTACCCATTGCTGTAATGAATTTTATAGATTGGAATTCATTAAGGTAACAACAATAATAGAATAAAAGGCTTGCTTAGAAGTAGTATTTGGTCAGAATTTAAACAATATGAACTTGTAGTGAATTCAATTTTAAGGATTCTATAACTTTTTTGGAGTAATACTTGGTAGTCTGGTATGACAGAAACCAGATGATTCAGTCTGTAGCCACACCATCTTAAATGTACCCAGTCTTACCTGATCTGGGAACCTACGTAGAATTGGACGCAGGTGGTATTTGGATTGGGAAAGCCAAATAATACTGGATTAGTTTTCCAAATAAGCATTTGGCCTATTCTTGCTCTAAATTGTTTCTCCCTGAGATTATACCTGGTTTTAACAGTCATGCCTGTATTCTTGATGGTTAAATTGGTATCTCTTTAACTATTTTCTTTACTTCAAGTTCCCCATATACACCTTACTGATTATTTCCATTTCGGTGTTTTTGAAAAATAATTCATTTTTTTTTAATTAAAAAAACTTCATTGAGAATTTCATACATGCATATAAGGTGTTTTGATCAAATCCACACCCATTCCCTCCTCTCTAACACCTCCCATATCTCCCCATCACTTTTTTCTGATAATTTCATGTTTCTCTCTCTCTCTTTTGACTGACTCTCTCTCTCTCTCTCTCTCTCTCTCTCTCTCTCTCTCTCTCTTAATGTGGGGCTTTTTGCTACTGTTTTTTGCTGCTGTTTTGATTTAACATACTGAGGAGAAGATTCACTTTTGTGTCAAGTCTCTGCTGCCTTAAGGATCTGAGGAGATGGTGAAGCAGAGTATGGGTCGTTTGTGAAAACAAAGCAGACACTGGAAGAACTTGGAACTGAGTCATGCCTCTGGTAAAGGATGGCAATGAGGAAAAAAGAGAGATTATTGATGATGACCTACAGAGGAAGTAGCATGATAGTAGTTTGTGGAGGTTAGAGGACAGCTTGCAGGAATCATCTCTGTCCTACCATGTGGATTCCAGGATCGAACTGAGATCTTCAAAATGCTTTTACATACTGAGCTGTCTTGACAGCTCTTGTCTATTTAAGTTACATCGTGTAAGTGTCAGGACATGGAAAGCAGAGGCACTACTAATGGTGCTAGGTGTAGTGTTTTAAGAACTCTAAAAAATGAACAAAATAAAGATTGGCATGAGAACACAGAAGTACACTTATTTTAAACTGAAGAGTTTGAAAAGACTTATTGGAAACCAGAAATTAAGAGTAGCATTTTGGGGGCTGGAGAGATGGCTCAGCAGTTAAGAGCACTGACTGCTCTTGCAGAGGACCTGGGTTCAATTCCCAGCACCCATATGGTGCCTACAAACCATCCTCAACTCCAGTTCCAGGGGAATCCAAAGCCCTCTTCTGACCTCCGCGGCATGGGTGCACTCACATACATGCAGGTAATACACTCATATATATAAAATACAAATAATAAAAAAATTTTTTTTTAAAAAAAGTTTTGAAAAAGGAGTTTATTTTTATTTTGTGTGTATGAGTGTAAGTGCACCTGTAGTGTAATGCCCAAGGAGATCAGAAGAGGGCATTGGATTCCCCTGGAACTGGAGTTATGGATGGTTGTTAGCCACCATGTGAGTGCTAGTGACTCAACCTGGGTCCTTTGCCAGAGCAACCAGTGCCCTTGACCACTGAGCCATCTCTCCAGACCTGAAAAAAAGGGGTTTTTAGGAGTGAGGTTGGAGCAGAAGGTTTTGGTTGAAGAGAATAGTTATGTACAAAACCAGGAGAATAAAAGAGTTTGGGGATGTGCTTGCATTTTAATCTAATTAGTGAGATGATAGCTAGAGTAAGTGACTATAAGTGTAGCAAGGCCAGTGGGCCCTAGCTCTTAAAAGGGCTTTGTTTTTCTCAACTGTTCTGAAAGCCCTGGAGCTGTTGAAGGGTTTTTAATTAGGTAAATTAATAATATGTTTTTATTTTTATTTTAGAAAGAATTCTAGTGACTTTGGAGGTTGGATTGTAGAGTTAGCAAATTTCAAGATGAGGTATGTAAGGCTTTCTTTTGTAGTAACTGGGTAATAATAAGAGTGGTGATAGCAAGGAGAAAATGACTTTGAGAGGGAGCTTTTGAGAGGACTGTGGGACTAACTTGGTATTGGACTAGGGAGATTTTTAAAAAAAGGAGTTAATGATGGCTTCAAAGTTATGTACCTGGGAACACAGAAATAGGAACAAGTTCACTGGGAGCTGTTTCAAGGTAGAACAGGGCTTTCTCAGGGCATGATAGAGGAGGGGATGTGGACAGCAGAGCGATATGGGAAGGAAGATTCTGGAGAAAAAGAGGTGATGGATTTTGTAAGATCTGTCTTACAGGGTAAAAGAACGTTAGTAGTCTGGTATATAAGATTTCTGGCAAACCAACTTTGATATTTGGTGTTATAAAAAGATAATAAACGTGTCTTTATTTTCCTTTTGGAGACAGTATCTCATGTATCCCAGGCTGGCTTTGAACTCACTATGTAGCTGAAGATGATCTTGAACTTAGCTACATCCCAGCCTGTGTGTCTGTTGAACTATACTATTTTGGGGGTATATGTATTTATTTATTTATTCATTTTTTAAAAATATTTTACTATTTTTGTGTGTATGCATCTGTTGCCTGCATGTATGGAAGTGCACCCTTGTCATGCAGTGCCCTTGGAGGACAGACGCGGCTGTCGGATCCCCTGGAACTGGAGTTATGGACAGTTGTTAGCTGCCATGTGGGTGCTGGGATTCAATCCTGGGTCTTCTGCAAGAACAGTCAGTGTTCTTAACCACTGAGCCATCTCTCCAGCCCTTGTATTTATTTTTATTTAAGTGAGAATAGCACAGAATCAACTTTAAATATTTTAAAACATTCAACTTAATAGCATTTAGTAGATTCACAATATTATGTTACCATCACCTCTGTCTAGTTAAAAGAAACATATATGCTGTCTTTGAAGGAGTCTGGAAACTTGCTATGTAGACCAGGCTGGCCTGGAACTCACATCAGTCCTTCTGGCTCCGCCTTCTGAATTCTGGGATTACAGATATGGTACCATAATACCGGGCAGTATGCACTTTTTAAGGCTGAATAATTTACAACTGTATTAATATATAATTCGCTTGTTCAGATGTTGATGTGCATTTGTACTGTTTCCATTTCTTGCCTAATGTGAATAATGCTGCATTGCTCATGGTACAAGTGTTTGTTTGAACACCTGCTTTTAGTTCTTTGATGTCTGTAAGAATGGAGATACTGGCAAGTTTGAT